TTATTATTTAATTTTGAACAATTAGAAATAAATTTTTCGTATTCCCATGTTGGAATAGTTCGACATTGTTGACAAATAAATGTTTGTAAATATGGTAATAATGTTATACTAAATAATTGTTTAATTAATGTTGATGATAAATCAATTGTAATAAGTGATTGAAATTTATTAAGTTGATTTATAATTGATTCTAATGGATTATAAGATAATATTAATATTTCAAGTGTATTTAAACTATTTCCAATTAAATTATCAAGTGATTTAAGTTGATTATGTGATAAATTAAGATATTTAAGTTTAGGATAATATTCATGATCAAAAACAAGTTTTCGTTTATTAGTAAATTGATTATATGATAAATCAAGTTTAATTAATTGAGGAAAATATGAAGCATTTAATTGAGACCATTGTATACCATATTGATCATGAATAGTAAGTGTTGAAAGAAGACGAAAAAAAATTCCACCTTCAAATATTAAATTTGTTTCAATACCAGATGATGAAAATTTATTATTAATTAATGTTAAATTTTCAATATTTGTACCAACTTGAACTAATAAATCACGTAATGATAATTGAAAGTATGAATCACGAATTTCAACATGATGATTTTGAAGTGTATAAACTAAATCATTGAATAATGGTATTGGATGAGTAAATGTAGTATTCCAACAAAAAAATAATGCTGTGCGATCATAAATACATCGTGGAGGTATTTCATTCCAAAACGAACATTCTATTTCTTTAAAAAATATCACCACAAAAAAGATAAAAATTTGTTTATTGGCATACATTATATTACACAAGACACATACATCGAAGAAAAAAAAGCGACAAAGTATACGAATAAAGAGCAGCCTAACATTTTTTTTTCTTCCCTCTTTTTCTGTTCTTCCACTCTCTACTCTTTTTCTAAGGTCCTTTTTTATGACAACGAAAAAAATAAAATACAAGAAGCATAAAATCAATACGTACATACAAAAAAAAGCTCTTTCTCGATGCAAATGAATCAACGAATGTCGACATGATACAATACTATGCTGCTCAAGGCTATTTTGTTCTTTTTCACATTGCCTATCGTTCTTTACTTGAATAGCAAAAAAAAAAAAAAGAGAGTAAATTATTGGACATTATGAGTGACGAGAACAACGTATTATCATCATGAAATAATAAAAATAGAAAGGTTTCATTTTAAAAATAGTACACATATATCAATATTAACTTAAACACCAAATCAAAAAAAAAAAACGAAATGTCAAATAAAATAGATGGACAATGTACTTTTTCATGTCACTAATTGCATGATTGCAAAGAAAAAAATTTTGATTCGAACACAATCGTTTTTGTTAATATCTTAGTATTATACGCATTAGAAACGAAGAAATTTCTAATTATTATTGTTCGGATAAAATAATAATCATAACATGCAAGGAAAACAACAACAGAAGTATAAATAAGATTTGAAATAAACAAGTCTGTGTTTCATTTATATTAAAAAGAAGTTCATGGCAACATCTCTAGAAAATTCCCGTCGTCCAACATCTGCTTCTACAGTTGCAACAAACTGGTCTCGAGGTACTTCAAACTCAATTGGACATAATGTTTCTGATCGACATATACCTGTCATCAAGGGCGACGTAAATTTTGTGAATACAAGTAATACTACAGAAGCAACTGTTGATGATGCTGTTCCATCACATTATATAAAAGAAATACTTGAACAACTCTCTAAATTACCAATCGATTCAATCGATCATGAAGATGCACTTGAATTCATCTATGATCTATTCTATATGCATTCACCATTGAATCAAGATGATTCACGTATAGCACGTGTACTGATAGAATGCGATTATTGTTCTATAGTTCACGATTGTTTAATTGAATTTATGAAAATTGGTATATTTAGTAATACATCAATAAGACGTTCAACACAATTTATTCTTTATACATTATGGAATTTTACTGGTATTAGTATGGAATTTCGTATTTATTTATCCAATAATAAATATTTTGTTGAATTTTTATTAAAAAATTTTTTAGAATATTTAAAAAATTTAAAAACTGAAGAAAATTTAGCAAAAATTACAGATAATTTAAATCAATCAATAATAAGTATAATACATAATTTAACAATAAATACAAATCATTTAAATATTGAACAAACATTTCATATTATAAATGAACTTCTTTTTGAACAAGAACAAATTAAAACAACTGAACGTTTTCGTGTAACATTACTTCTTTGTTTAATTAATCTCAATGGTAAACAAGTTTATGAAAATTTAATGGTATATCAATCAACAGTTAAATTACTTTTTCATTTTTTTAAAAAAATTGTACAACATGAAATTCTTATGATAAGTACAGGTTTATCAGCATGGGTTATAGCATATGCTATTAATAAAATGCCAATTGATATTATACTTATTGATGATAATCGTCTTTATTCATTCATGATTTTATTTAAACGTGGAATGCGAGATGAAAAATTACAAGCTTGTTTTACATTAAATTGTTGTATTCAGAAATCTACACATGCAAAAGAAATTATAGAAAAAGATGGAACATGTTGGAATTTATTTCAACAATATAAAGTTTTTCTTCATGGTGAACAAAATATCTAACTAACTATCGCTATACACTGATGAACTATAATTATCATGATCGGATATAGTACTTAATGGATGATGTATATGATTGTAAATCATGTCATTTGATGTTGTTGTTCGAATATCACTTGTACTACTATTATGACTACTTGATCTAAAACGAGATTTTTCTTTATTAGGTAACAATGATGATCCAGATAAATTTTCTTCATCTTCATAAGCAAGAAAACTAAGTCGTTGATCAGGATTAAAAAGAAAAAGTAGATCACCAGTTTGCACGCCATATGAAGCTAACGTTCGTTGAGGTCTTAAACGTTTATCACCAAATTCTAGTACAAGTTGATTTGTCATTGATGACAATTGTTCACGTTCAGCTACACGTCGTATAAGTGTTTCACATGTATCTCGAACATAATTACCCACAGGCATTTCAATTGTTAAACGTTTTACTTGAGAATTAGTTGAAGTTATTTTACGTACAGCTACATAAAATTGTATTAATTTACCACTAAAAAAAAAGAATTCAAAAAATAAAACAAATTCTAAGAATAATAATCATGAAATAATATACTGCAATATTTTTGATCGTTTATAATGTTCATCTTGATTATTTGAATCTAAATAATAGAAATTTATTTTTCTAAATTATATATTTATTCCAATTCATACCATATCGATGTGCTCGTAAACATCTGTCACATACCATAAAATTACAATGGCGACATAAACGTAAGGGTGCAAATGTTTCACATGTTGTACATTTAGCTGTAGCACTAGTATTCAACGAAAGATTGCCTGGTGTCATTAGTCTTGAACATGTTGACATAGCTTGTTCATCAAGAAGATTACGAACAACAAAATTAGGTGGAAAAACACCATCATCAGGAACTAAATGTTGTTTTCGACATTCTGGACAACTTTAATTGAAAACAAAAGGATGATTAGATTGTTTATGTTTTTTTTTAGTTCATTTAGACATCTTACGTTACAACATCATTATTATTTTGCATTAAACGATTGAGACATTCATCACAATAAGTATGACCACAAGGAAGAAGACGAGGTTCAATAAATGGTGTCAAACAAACAGGACATTGAAGTAATTCTTGTAAACGTTGAGAACGTTGTGATGATAGTCTAAACAACAAAGATAAGTGTATACCTGTCAAATTTTAATTTTTTTGTCTTTTAAAGTAAAACAAGGTCATTTCTATATTAATCCAAAATTAATCTTTTAATTCTATAAAATGTCAAGGAATTTGTCGGTTAGTTTTATTTCTATCAATATTGAATTATGTAATGAGAGTAAATTTGAAACGTGTCATTAAAAGAATATGAAAATCCCGTTACCTTCTTCGACGACTTGATGGTCGTCGTTTAAAATTTGTTGAAGTAGCAGTTCGACTTGATCTTTCACGTTCAGTAATTGGTGCTGGTACAACTATTGGTCGTCGATTTATACCAAACGATCTATTCAATGCGTGTGCTCTACCTGTAGCACATCTTCTAGGCATCTCTGGTACAATTGGTGTTCTCAATGAATGTACTGCTCCTCGATGACGTCTTCGACCACGATGTAATGTAGATGGAGGTGGTGGTGGTGATCTTCGTCGTCTTTTTGGTTTGATGGGAACATCTGAAATATCTGGTGTAGCAATAACATTGTCATCAGGAGGTGCATCGCCAAATAATTGATCAATTGTTGTATCCCATTGGGGAGGATTCGATGTTGCTGGTATTTCAGGATTATTTGCAGCAATATCAGTTTTATTATTAACATAACCTAATGATCGAGTCAATTTCGATACTGCTTTGCCCATTGCTTAGTAATGCACAAAAAAATAACTTATGACCGGAAGAAGGAAGTTATATATGCATGTAAATATGTGTCCTTCTTTGCATCGCCGTCATGCATCACTAATTGATGATAGAGTGTAGGAGAAAAAAAATTGCGTGAATGAATGAATGTTATTACTCGTTGTCGTCATCAAACTGATGTAAAATAAAAGAGCAGGTCTTTGTCACACGTTAAGCTCCTTTCTTTTTTGTTTCTTAAGAATAAAGATTGCATCATGTATCGAATAGAAAACGAAAAGAATTGAATATCAAATTCTTAATCTCTTTTTCATCTGGTGATCATTCAATAAAAGAGTGGTATTAAACTTCACACTCATACAATACAATATAATTTTATTTTGTTTTTTCGATGATGTTGAGAGAAAAAAAAAAAAGATAAGAAGAAAAGAAAAAAAACCACAAGTGACGCAAGAGAAAAGAGAAAAGTAAAAATAAAAATTAGAGAAAATGAAGAAGCAAAGGAAGACAAGTCAGTCAATTCAACACCGGGATTAAAAGAATATATTTGTTGTTTGTTTTGTTCTTTAGTTTTTAACTCATATCCATTGCTTCAGAATTGTTATTTGTATTAAAACTAAATCCAGATGATGATTGTTGTTGTTCATGAATAACAGTATTATATAAATCTTGATATTCTTTTGAACTTTTTACAAGTGCTTCAAATTCATTAATACATGCAATTTTATTAGCATCTTTTATTTGTTGTAATGCAAGAAAGACTTTAATTGCAGCACGACGTAATTCATCATGTTTTTCAAATTCTTGTTTTATACTATTAGCTTTAACTTTTAATTGTAAAATTGCTTTTAATGGTTGAACAAGACGATCAAGTCGTTGTAATACAATTGTTGGACAAAGTATTGATAAACGTACAACCATAAGAAATGTTAACATGCGTATATCATAATGATCTTGTTTAAGACCATCTTCAACATATGTTAAATAATCGAACATATCAAGTTTATCAAGACATGCTAAATAAAATAAATTATATTAATTTAGAAATTGAATTGTTAATAGTTTTATTTGTTTTATATATAATTGAATATCAAAATATTTTATTAAGATTACAGATGAATATTTTAGATTTACTCGTGTTCATATAGAGTCGACCTGTGTGTATCAATACGTATTGAAGAACATTACAGAAAATTAATTAGTTGTATTTTTTTATTTAAATATCCAATTCATTATTTCTTGAAATGAAAATTGCTTCTAATGTGTCCAGCTTTTCCTTTATTTTGATAGTAGGAAAAATTTTTCGTTTCAACTGTAGATTCTACCTCATTATCTCATTTTCTTAGTTTAATAAGAAGAATATTGAATCAAAAACAAACACATTATCAATATGTCTAATCTTATTAATGCCTGTATCCTCTTTCAATGTACTTTAACCTTTTCAAAACAATCTCATGTATATACGGGCAAAATCATTCGTTAACAGCGTGATCTTACAAAATTAAAACATGTCTACTTTAGATATATTGAAAAAAAATCAGTACTGAAGATCTTTGTTTAGAGGAGTTATCAGTAAAAGAAAAACTAACGTTAAAAAAAGAAAACAATTGCTAACGCTACGAAAGCTCTATTTAAAGTCTTTTCTGAGCATGTTCACATTTTTCAAAAAAATTGATTCACTTTTCATTAGCGACATGACGGAGTATGAAAAAATGCTCTTGTAACTGAATGAGAAGTTCAAAAGCAATTTCAAATAGTACAAATCCTTTTTTAGAATTTCTAGAACACTAATTTTTATGACGAAGTTTTTTTTTTGAGTTTGATCTTGCTGAAAATTTCATTACAGATGTAGTTCGTACCGTAGAGTCTATTCTGAAATTTTCAGATGTTTTCCTCCTATGGTTCGAGAGGTATTTGCTAATTACTTTTTAATTAATAGATTCACTGGAAGAACCAACATTTTTACATATGTCTATGTTAAATGAACTTATTCAGAAAAATAAATCTTATAAACAATCAAAGTCTAATGGAAGGTATGTATGTCTTGTTTTGTTTTGCCTGAAATGACCCATATATGCTTCATAATTAAACTTTTTTTAAGAAAATCTGGATAATCTTAGGTTTTTTTAATATACGTACTGTCTAATAGTGTGTACATGCATTCATAAGCTGCTTTACGAAGATCAAGACCATCTATAAAATAGAAAAATATTTGTATTATTATTTAAAAAAAAAAAATAACTGTTTTTTTTTAAAAATCTTACCATCAACAGTATGTTTAAATGGACCCATTTCAACTTCCCGAATAAGTTCTGGCCGTACACGAGTTTCATTATAAAGTTTAGGTAAAAGTTCTTTAAGTAAATCACGTATTAACATTGGTTTATTATGTGCAGCTAATAGATAAAATAAAATAAAATAAAATATAAATCGAAAATCAAAATTCTACATACCAGAATTAAACATAACAAGTGCAACACGTCGAACATCAATATCTTTATCTTCAAGACCATTCAAAAAATCTTTAATATAACCTTTTAAAATTGTATCAATATGTTGTGGTTGATCAACAATTGTAAATTTAATTGCTGTTATTATCGTTGAACGTACATATGGTGATGATGATTGTTGTTTTTCTGCATGATTAATAAATGTTTCACGTAAAATAGGTAATAATTTTTCAGGTTTTAATAATGTTAATTTTCCTAAACATTCAGCAACAACATTTCTTGTACCTTCTTCAGGACATTCACAATGTGCAAATAATGTACGCCATATTGAATCAATATGTTCATCAAGTTGTGGTAAATTTTCATGACTTTGATATGCTATTATTTCACGTAATGAATGTAATAAAAGATATTGACGTTTTGTTTGACTACGTGCTATTTCATTTAATAAAAATGGAATGTGAGAATTTAAATTTCGTATACCAATATAACCAAGTGTATATGATGCTGCTGTACGTAAATCATCAGATGGAGAAGAAAATATATCAAGTAAGATTTGTTGAAGATTTGATGATGATTGAGCTAAATCAGTATATTTACCTAAACACAAAAAATTAAATTTCTTTTTTTTTTTTTTTGTAAAAGATACATTTTGATTAAATAATAATGATATTAAAACTTTATACTAGAGAAGAAAAGACTTAACCATAAATATTAATATATGACAAAAGATTCAACTATTGCTGCTATACTTCGTCAGTCAGTCTATGAATATCTACTAGAAGCAGAGCTAAAATTACTGAAACTTCCTTTCTGCTATGATTTCCCACGAGATTATAAAAAATTATGCAGAAAGTTTGAAATTTTTAGGAAAGCACAGCTTCCGCCATTCCCTCTCTAATCAGTGACTCTACTACCGAGTGACCGTGATCATCATTCAAATTTGTAGGAATTTTAACTGAATATCCACCAAGTGTACATTTTTAATATTTCGTAGTTATTTCAATTTGAAACTATAATCATCTGATAAGAGCAAAAATTTTCCTTTTTTGTTTTTGTAAACTATTATTGAGATAACTAGCAATGATAGCTGACCCATATATTTTATGATGAAGATGAAGCAGCTGTGACTATGATGATAATTGTTATAGCAATTATTATTCCGACTATTTTAATTATTCTCTATCAATCAAGTATTATTCATCACTGTTCCTATTGGTTACAGATGCAAATTGATAGCATAATGAGAATTGTAATAATAAACTATAGACGTCTGACATACCATTTTCTTTTATCGATATGCTTTGATTTCGACATATTTTCATTTGTCCTTTCTATATCATACCGTTTCCTACATTTATCGATATAATTGATTTCATACTTGTGTGTATATATATATTTTTTTTTGAAACATAGATTCATTTATATAACTTTCGAAGGATCTCAATTATTCATCATATTGTAAAAGACGATCCTAATAAAAGTGTAGTCATTTTCTCGTGACATTGTTAAAATATAAGGTGGTCCAAAAGTCACTTAATTGTACAAAAACAAAATAAATATCTTTACCAATCATAGGACAGTATTATCAATAAATTCTTATTGTTTATAACTAAAGGTTTCCATATACAATGAGTAAGAAGACATACATCTATGGTACAAATTTCACACCAAACAACAAAAATATTGAGAAATAATAGGAAAATTTAAGTATCGTTTACTTTTGAGTTTCTTTATTGAAGTCTAACTATAATATTTCAAAACAGTGTTTTGTCAATTTTTTTTTTGTTATAAATATGATCTATGAACATTTCTTTATTATTGACAAAAGAATCAACTCATTCGATCAAAATATGGGAGAGATATTCAATTGTTTTCTTCAATAAAATGGTTTATTATTAATTAATTTAATTTCTCAAGCATTTTACTAATAATCGTTTTCTTTTTCCTTTTTTTAATTTTTAAAATCTAAATTAATCTTACCAGTTTCACCAAGACAAAGTAATGCCAAAATTTTAATTGAATCACTACATTTTGAATCATGTAAATCATCTTGAAATTTCTTAATAAAATAATTACTTTCCTTTAAATTTGCAACTGTTAATGAAGCAAATGATTTTGCAATTGAATAAAATGCTTGTCTATGAACAACTAATTGTTGTTGTTGATGATGATCACTTGTATTTGTTGCTGTAGTTGAAATTGTTGTTGATTTTTGTTGTGAATAAATTGGTTTAATTAATAATTTAACTAATTCTTCATATGATATAGATTGTGGTACAAGTGCACAAAGAAATTCAATAACAGCATCTAATGCTGTACCTTGTAATAATGGTGATTGAATTAATTCAAGTACTTTATTTAATATAGGATGTATTTGTTCTTTATCAATATTAATTTGATTGTTATTTATTTTACATATTGATGTTGTTAATTTAAGTGCATATTGAGCTAATAATAAATCATTTTCATTAATTAATAATGGTAATTCAATAAGAATTGTTTTAAGCATAGTTTTATTAAAATGTTTTGAATAAAGTTTAATCATTGAACGTAAACATGATAATGTATTCATTTTAAGTGTACGATGATTTTGTCGAAGATATGATGATAATATAGGAACTGTTTCAATAAGAATTGTTTGTAAATCAAGATGAAGTGGTGATTCAATTATATTTGTTAATGCACGAACTGTTGGTAAACGTGTTATTTCATTACGAAGAAGTTCAATTAGTATTGGCCAACATGATTGTAATTGATCAGATGATAGAAGATCACCTAAGAAATAAAGAGATTGTTTTTTTTTTAGATGATATTAATAGCTTCAAAATAGTTAATTTTCGACTTTTATTGTTTTCATTTGATAGAGAAAATACTGTAAAATAATGTCTCTATAAATGATAGATAATAAAAGTTAATCAAAAAACAAAAAAATCATTGTGTAGGTTCCTTTAAACGTCAAATAGAAACGTACCAATGTATTTGTATATGACTCGAGAATTTGATTGGTTTCAGAACAAAATTCAAGTGTATGATTTAGGTTAATAATTTTTGTACTGAACGGATTGTAATACAACGAATTATCAATTGGTGAAAAAATAAAGGTTTTAATTTCTTGTTCTTATTATATAAATGATTATTAGTATGGATGTAATACTTATTTACTGATTTTCTGTTGAATAGTATTTAGAACATAGAGAATTACTTTGAAGAATATCAGCAAGTATTTTCTTTTTATTTTCCTATAATATAGAACTCATTATTGTGATTTAAAAAATTTGAGTATTTATTTTTTTTGTTTTTTATATTGGTTTTTTGTTCTTCAAAAAGATTGTTAGTAATCTGTAAAAGATTTTGTTTTTAGAATCAAACTCAAAGATACTATTTAAAAAAAAATAAAGTTAAACTATTAAAAGTCTGATTTTCTTACCAAGATAGACAATAACATAAGCAAAACATGTAATAGCTCGTTCTTTAACTTCTTGATCGAAATCTTTTTGTTTTAAACGTTTTTGTGTACATTCATAAATTTGTTCAACAAATGGTTTAAATTCATTTTGAATTGTAATTGTTGATTTTGGACGAATTATTTTAACTGATTCTTGTAAAACAAGTAATGCTTCACTAGCTATTTTATAAAATGAATCATTTGCATGTGAAATAATTAATGGTAACATTGATTTAATATGTTTATGAAAACGTGTTGAATTATCATGTGTTTGTAAAAGTGCATAAAGAAAAGCTAAAGCTGTTATTTTTAAATTTGAATGTAATGATTTTGATATTGTTTGTGTTGATTTTCCTTCAATATTTGATCCTTGAGTTTTTTTAGTTTTATCTGATATTGATAATGAATAAAGTGTATTTGGTAAAATTGTATCAATATGATCAATAAGAATATTATGTTGAACTTGAACAAGATTTGTTAAAACAACTAAACTACCTTCACGATTTTTTGTATCTTTATCTTTCATTATTTTTGCAAGAGAACGAACAATTGATGGAACATATTCAGCTAATGGTGATACATAAGAATTTTTTGTTGTTATATGATCTGTATCCATACTATCTTCATCATCATGAATAGATGAACAAATTGTACTATGATATTGTTGTTGTTGTAATTGTTGATGTGCATATGTTGTTTTAGTTTGTTGAAGAATTGTTATAAAACAATGAAATACATCTGCTTTAACTGTATTTTCACGTTCAAGAAAACGTTCAATTAAGACAGGTACAATTTTACGATAATAATTTGTTTGTGATATATCATGTTGTGTTACAACAACAGCTTCAATACATTTAGCAGCTGAATGACGAACTTTCCATGAAAGATCATCATCATCTGAATATGAATCTTGATCTAAATAGAACAAAAAATTAAATCATTATTTAGTTTTACTATTTTTTTTTTATTATAATACGTAGCTAATAGCAAAGTATTTATAACTCGACTAACGAGTAGTTATTAGTGAAATTTTTCGAATGTTGCAAAAAAAAAGTATCAAATGATCGAAGCTATTTAACACTGAAAGTCAATAAGACGCAAAAAAAAACAATATTCTCTTCCGAAAAAGAAATAGATAATCATTTTCAATATAATTCAAAGTAGACTAAAACCGTCGGTATAACGTGCACTATAATGGTAGCAGTTTGATACTTAATCAGTTAGCTATCTTCTGACTGTCATTCTACTGCGCTATACTGATAGTTATTCTTTCATCGGAGGTAGTATGAACGAGCATTTGACATAGGGTCTTTCTTATCGTTTTCTATCATATAGATCCTTGTAGATATATGATAATAGTCACTCATGTCTTTTTTTTTACTTAAGTAACAAAGTTGTAAATATTCTTACTCATTCTCTTCAAGTATACATAAGTGTAATAAAACAAGCACTATGATAGTACTAGTGAGAATCTATACATACTGCATAGCAGCGTTTTTTCTTTAACATACAACCTCAAAATTTTAACCTTTCATTTGGTAACAGACACACAAACACTCGATATTATGTACATAGAAACACTACGGTGTGATATCCTTATATCGCTAAAAGCTCATGTAGCCTTCCCTCTTGTAGCCCTATCCCTTATAGCCTTATTTGACCTCTAACCATTGACCTTTGACCGAGGACAGAGAAACATATACACACTGAATATTATATATATATACATATTATATTTTTTAAATGAGTCATCACTAATTTAACTATCTTATCTATTGAATTTGCTTTATTTAGAGAAATGAATACCTTTATCATCATCGGCATCATCATCATCACTTTGATCATCACTCATTGTATTATCATCATCTAAATAATGAATAAAAATAATGAAGTTTAATAAATTATTTTTATTTACCATCATAATTAAAATTTGGATCATATTTTAAATATACAATACAAATATTAACAATTTTTGGTACAAATTCATTTGTTTCTTTTGGACAACGTTTTAAATATGTTTCAAGTGCTTGTAAACAATATTCAATAAGTTCATCATCATATTGTTGATCATCATTATTATTATTTGATGGTGTATTTTCAATAAATGAAAGTGTTATTCGAACTATTTCATGCATATGTTCACTTAAACGTTGTGATGCTAAACGACATATTGATGTCAAAGCTTGAACATAAGTTTTAACTAAAATAATAAGAAAAAATTTTCTTTTAAATAGATATGTATGCTTGTTTTTCTTGTTTCTCACTAGTAGCATTTGCTTCAGCCGATGCTGATTTTTTGTTCATAGAAGCAGATGTGGGTTTATGTTGAAGTTCATTAAGTAAATTAGTAAGAATTTCATTAAATAATTGAAGATCACATGTTTCCAGAAGATAACTATGAAAAAAATATTATATTCAATAAAATAAATTTTCATCAAAAAAAAAATTAATCATTTAATATACGAAGTTTGTTTTTTTCTTGTTGATGAAATTTTAATGAATAAGTATATTTTAATTCTTATCCAATAGAGAAATTTTCATCAAAAATAATTTACTTTCAGCTGCATACGAAACCTAGAATAGATATGGCCTATTCGAGGGCAGAGAGCAGCTCATTATAATGTTAAATTATGATTGAGAGTACAATGGGCACTATGTTCAGAGATGTCCTGAGGTCATCAAGATTGGAGAAGCGAATCCTGTTGCGAGGCTTGACGAACAAAGAAAGTCGTTCAGGTTTGTTGAAGTAAAACGAAAATTTACCAAGATTGACGGGAGGGAGGACACCCGTGAATATATTTTAGATGTATTAATGACATTATAAAAATTTAAAAGAAACTGCTTTATTCACCTACATTTCTAAATAGTTTTAACCAAAGATTGAGGCAATAGATATATGTTACTAAATGACATCAGATTGATCAAAGGCTGCATTTGAAGTGATTATGAATGTCGATCATTTGCATTGAGTTTATTTTACTCGTTCTATTTAGACTAACTGGCATATTAAACATTTCATTTTAGTCTATCTAGGTTAAATATATGTTTGACTATCGAAGTAAACAAACAATCAGACGTAAGATTCTTATCGATGAGACAAAATCTTATGCTATGTCGTATTACAAGAGTCTTGAAAGACCTTATCGACACAAGAGTTTTTCTATAATCTTATAATGATATCTTATAAGGCAGCAAGACCTTTCAAGAATCATATTAAACGGCTTAGCGTACGATTTCCATATGACCTTGTAAGATCAGACAACATTAAAGGTACAATCTTATAAGATTTTACTATCCAATTGGGTCTGGGAAGATTTCCTGCAAACCTTATAGCGATATCTAACAAGATAGCAAGATCTGATAATATGACTTACTGTAAGATTTCCAAGATTACAATTTTCTTTTGCTTCTGTAAGATCAGATGAAAACTGTACAAAAAATCGTAGTCACAAAAATCTTATGCTTATTCATATTATAAAATGCTTGAAAGATCTTGCTAGTTTATAAGATATTACTATAAGATTATAGGAAATCTTATGTATAACGGTATGACCTTTCAAGATTCTTATAGTACGATTTAATGTAAGATTTCTGAGACTACGAGTTTTTCTATGATTTCAACTGATCTTACAAGATTTTACGTCTGATTTTTTGACCTTGGAATTCTTTGTTTCAATTTCTTTTACTACAGGATAAAATACTTCTATAGAACAACTATAGTTCTTCTTATAGATTTATTCATAATCAAGGTATAAAATCGTTCTATTGTACAAAACTCGATACAAATGACCTTGAATGATTCATAGGGATAATATCACATTAATTGCGTAATTGTATAAATGTATTATAGTTGATCAATAAAACATAATATTATTTGCACGAAAAGTTTAATATACCTGAGCGATGTAGTGACACGTTTTCTAACAGCTGATCGATTTGAATTTAAATGACTTAATAAAATTTGTTTTAATTGTGGATGAAATGATGATAAATTTGCACCAAATCTTGATAACATATCACTAATTATATCTAATATTTCCAATTGACTCTGTCCACCATTAGCTAAATCCAATGCATTATTTGTTTTCTTAGTATTTGTAGTATTTGTTGTTGTTGTACCTTGTTGTATAGCTGCTAATAAACGTTGCATAATTTTTTTTGATATATTATTTGTGGCTCCTGAATTTGTTGTTGCTAATGAAGCAATAACAGTTTTTAAACCACTACTTGATATATCACGTAATTGCTCAGCATCTTTAGACATATTTGTACAATTTGAACATAATGTATCACATATAATTTCAATTTGTGGTTCTTTTACTTTACATACTAATGGACCAAGACATTTAACAGCTTGATTTTGTACTTCACCATTTGTATCTTCCAATAATTTTAAAACACCTTTTACAATACGACGTTCACTATCATCATCTAATTTAATTGATTCTTTTTGTAAATCGTTCATTAAATCCGATGTTGCCATAAATCGAAAATCTTTATCACTCGATGACATTTTGTCTAATAAAGATCCGATATGTGTTGTTGATGCGACAGACATTTTCCTTTTTATCAACTAAGACGATTAGTTTAAGAGAAAATTATGTTTTACTGACTTATAAATGTTTATGTTGCTTTTGTGCACATAAATGTGGATATTGTGGATAACAAAGAAAGAATATAATGAATGTTGTAAATGTATTTAAATTAACATATAAAGAAAATTTTTCTATATTTGAAATAAATCAAAAAAATAAATGAAAAATAAAAATTTATTTAATTTGATTTCTTTTTTTTTAATTTTCTCTATGTATCAAAAATGAAGGTTTAAATAAGATAGGAATGGTGAATATTAACCAATGAAATAAAAGAATCATCTATGGGGGCTTGATTTAAATGAATAATGATTTTATTGTCCGAAGTTTCTTTATTTTTTATTTTTTAATTAGGATGAATCTAAAACATAAGTCATAAATTTTAATTAAATTGACGTATTTTTTTTTTGAAGGAAAAAGGTGAGCATTTTCAATTAATACTAATTCATTTGACCTTCTGTTATCTTCAATGATATATTCAAACGAAAAAGAACACTTTGTTTTTTCTTACAGTAATCCCAATCTATCTTTAGATGCACTGTAAGGTCCCCGAAAGAGATTTAGGATTTTAAACTATCGAAGCCATATTTATTCTTTCTTAATGTAATTGCATTTATGTGGTTTTTTTTTCAAAATTGATTAGAATAAACATTTAAACAATAGTTCATATGAATATTGAGCCACCATTCATTTTTCTTCTTACCAATAAAAACATAAAAAAATATTTACATTTGAAACATTCCATCAGAAATATTTAAGTACATGCAATAATGTTTGATACTGGTCGTTTAGAAAATAAAAAAAAAAGAAAGAAAAATTTTTTTTTCCTTCTTCCATTTGGATAAATGAATAACGATTAAGTTCAATAAAAATAATAAAATCTTTTGATTTATTTTCTTTCATAATTTAATTATAAAAAATGTTCTATTATCATGTCAAGTAAATGATACCATTAAGTGTTTGTTTTTCTTTACATATTCACTCATAGAAAATTGGATTATATCAGGAAAAAATAGTTGTAAGAACCCTCCTTTTTTTTTTTCTTCGTTCGCATGCGTATAAAATGAATGCGAAATGATCTGATCGACTACCACCAACTGTGTGCAACAGAAGCCACCAAAAATGGTTGTATTTGTTGAAAAAAAAAAGAATATAGATTATAATAACAACAACATCATGTTCGTTCTTGATGTTGTCAATGTCGAAAATTCCTACGTGTATACATAATTTCATGAGTAGTAGTAGTGAAGAAAGTGAATGCTATATTTCACCAAGTCTACTATCGTCAACAATGACGATAATATCATCGAAAAAACAATTAAAGAAAAAAATTAAAAAAACAAAACAATACAGAGATTCTTCTAAACGTGTAAGAAAATAATAATAGAATGAACATTATCTTCTTAAATTCATTTTATTTATTTTTATTTTCTTTTTATTTTCTTTTCATTCTTATTTTAATATTAGATGGAGACAACCCGACGATGTCAAATAAAATTATTAGATGATAGGAAACTTGACCTATCAGTTAATGTAAGTTATGAATTAAATAAAAAAAACAATGAAATAAACATTGTGAAATAACTATTATTAATTTAGAATAAACAAACAGTAGCCGATTTAATAAATGAAATTAGTCGACAATATCATTTAACTGAAACAGAATATTTTGGTATTTATTATGAAGAAAAGTAAGTTATTTGTTATAAGAAATAACTATTAACGTAACAAAAAAGAAAAAGAAAAAACGAAACGATATGTACATTTAAAATGTCCTTCAAATTGTTCTTTAACTTTTAGAATAAATCGATTGTTCGAAACTACAAATAAATATTTGTTGTTAATCCGCATGTACAATTGATTTTGCATTTGGTTTTTCTTTTTTTTATAAAATGTCAAATTGCTGTATATTTGATCAATTGTAAAAAGAATAATATAAATATTTCAAAAAGCAATAATTGATTTTTTTTGGACACGAAAAAAAAGAAAAAAATTTTTATTAGGTCAACTTTTCCAAAATAATCTCTTTGTCAAATAAGTTTCATAAATAAAACTAGAAGTTTTAAAAAAATCATGTATATAATCGTCTAAGAGTTTCTTATAGTTCGAAATACAGTTTTTAATAAAATAATGTTTTATTTCTGACAAGTCTAAGAACGTTGAATTTCTACAAGCATTTTAAATTTTATTCCATTCGGTTATATTATCACGGATTTGTATCTAAGACTTGCAGGACTATTTTAAGTCTTCTAATATTAAACCAGAAGGGGAACGAATCGTGACTAGTTTTTTTAATATTTTGAGTGCAGAACGTAAGCGATATGTCATAAGTTGGCCAAGTTATTTCAATAGCAGGTATTTCATTATGAAATTGTTTCTTTTCTTGAATTGAAATATACATTCATTAAATGATAAGTATATCGATTAAAAATGAATAATAAAATTGTTTCATTGATGGTTGAAGTTTCATAAAAATTATTTCTAATAGAATTTGACAAATGTTCTTTTCTGCTTTAATTATATTGAATTATATATTTAAATGAGTTGTATATAATTCTGACCTTCTTTGTTTATTTCAAGTGATGAACGTATGTGGCTTCCATCTGATAAAAAATTATTCGATCAAGAAGTATTTAAACGTGATTCACCTTCTCCTATCATTTATTTCGCTGTTAGGTATATTATTTTAATTTAATCTAAAACAAAAACAAAAAAATTTTTGTTTTTTTTCATTTTTTAATTATTAATTAGATTTGTATTTAAATCATTTCTATGGCTACAGAGTGCAACCACAGTCATGCTTTTCTTTTTATCAACACGTTATGCAATTTATCGAGTAAGAAAATTTTCAATTTAAATCAATGAATATATTTTTAATTCTTATAGGGAATAATTGATACAAATGATAATACATTATTTCAATTAGCTGGACTTGTTGTACAAGCTGTTGGTGGAGATTATACAAAGTTTGTATTCTCTTTTATTGTTTCTTTTGGTTTTATATGAAGAATTTTTGTTTTTTTTTTTTGAAGTGATGAAGCAGCTATTAACATAATAAAACGAGTTTGTGTTTTACCAAAACGTGTTGTCGATAGAAATATATCAAGAAGATATTGGTAAAATATTTATTTATTTAAATTCATCTAATAAATTTAATTCTGTTTTTTTTTTTTTTTTTTAGTGAAGACCAAATAATAAATCATTATAAAGCATGTCGTGAACTTGTACGAGGTCTTTGTATTGTTAAGTAAGTTAGATGAGTTTTTTTCTTTATTAAAACAAACAAATTTATTTCACATCTTTTGTTTATATTAGATATATGATGTTAGCTGAAAATCTACCTTCATATGGTTCACATTATTTTCTTGTCAGAGTAAGTTTTGAAATTCTAAAAACAAAAAAATTTAATTGATTAAAATTTAGAATAAAAATAATGTATATGCTTATTTGGGTATATCATTTGTTGGAATTTCTGTATATAATTATCATGATCGTGAAACACCAGTAAAAGTAAATATTTTATTTTAAATAAAAAGAATTTTTGTTTATGTTTTTTGGTTTTTTTTTAAATTATAGATTTATTATTGGAGACAATTAGAAAATTTATATTATCGTGATAGAAAATTTTCATTAGAAGTTCATGATTTAGAGTAAAAAAAATTTAATTTTGTTTTCTAATTTATGATGATTTTATTTTTTAATAGAACAACACATTTTTTATCATCTTCATCAATTCCAACAAATGTTTCTGCACCAGAAACAGATGATAAACTTATTGATGCTATTCATGATCCATCAACACAGTAAAATATTTTCGTTTTTTTTTTTTCTTTAAATCATTTAATTTTCCCGTTTTGTTTTCAAGAATGTCAACAGGTCGTCGAATTCCTCCAACACCAAATATTAAAGTTCGTGCATGGTTTACAAATTCTCCACAATATTGTAAAGCAATTTGGTCTATGGCTGTAGCACAACATCAATTTTATCTTGATAAAAGAAATTGTCGTGTATGTTTAAATAACATGGATATTTGTTTAATTGAAATAAAAGGATTTGATTTGATTTTGTTTTTTTTTTATAGCAAAACCAGTCTTTACAAATCAATGATCTTGTACGTGAATTAAATAATTCAACAATAACATTAACAACTGATAATATAATATCAAATGGTTCATTATCTCGATCGAATAGTGGTAAAAAACAAAGATAAAGAAAAAAAAAAAATGTTATTTTATCGTTTTGAATTCTTTATTTAAGCTTCAATAAATGTTATACAAAATGAACAAATTGAAGCTGATGTTGAACAATTAATGGATTTAATGAAAACACGTAAACAACAATTAGAAAGTTTATTAAATGAAAAAATGAAAGATTTTGGTTTAATTTGTGTACTTGAAAATGTTTGTTAAAACAAAAACAAAAAAAAAAACTTTCGATTAAGTTTAATTACTTTTTTTTTCTTTTAGCAAGTTACTGGTGGAACAACAGATGATCATGTGAATATTAATGATAGTGGAATACAACAAGAATTAAAATATCATGTTGTTGATGAATTATTAAATGAACAAGTACAAGAGGTAAAAAACAAAAAAAAAACAGGAGACTTTATTAATTGAATAATATATATATATATTTCATTGTTAATGTCTGGAGACATGAACAATAGAGAGAGAGAATGAACCTCTGTAGACATAACAGAATTAATATTTAATGTGACAAAGAAAAATTTGATCGATAACGAAAATAGGACGATTGTTATTGAATTTGTCTGAAATAATAATCAATTCATGAGTTTTAGAATAGGCATATATTGAAGAATATTTTATATATTAAAGACAAGACTAGTATAAAGAAAAATTCATCGGTTTGTACTCATGTCTCAAGATAATCAAATTGAATTGTCAATGCATGACTGTTTTATGAAGATATTGCAAATAATATTTCAATAATATCATATATAAATATTTGTCTGATTGGATAAGAAGACTAGTATATGTTTCATAAAAATCTTCTTAATTAAAATTTCAACAGTAGCTGAAACAACAGAAAAAAAATCATAAATGAAAAACGAAAAAATTTCAGCTTTCATAAGATACACTTCGATTTTATTTTGATAAAGTAAATTTGAGAACTTGCTGGAGGATGAAGGGCTTGAAGAATTTTTTTTTCATCAAATCATGAGACGAATATCGAATTGATTGTTTTACATCTCAATTTTAGAAAGAAAGTCGTCGGGAAATATTAGAAAAATCATAATTTCATAAGGATTAAAAGTGTCCATCTGATTTGTAAAGGAGTGCAAAAGAAAAAACACAACGATACATAAAACTTTTTCACCTAATCCTAAATATTTTTGGAAATAATTGTAGAATAATCCTACTCTAATACTGACGTTCAAAAAATATATACTATCTTCAACAATTATTTTTCACCTGTCTTAAGGACGTTGGCCCTCAAAAAGTCAATTTTCGTCGGAAAAATCAAAATCGAAAATAGCTCGACGTTTGATCTTGCATAAACGACATGGTTTTTCATTTGGTATCTCATTTTTTGTCAAAGTTTTCGATAATTTTCATCACGTTCTACTTGAAAAATATGCTTTTCTTGATCGTACAACCCAGAATTCTCTATAGGTCTTCATTCTATATATTTAATCTTTTGTTTGAAAGATTGCCGAATAAACTATTCTTCACTCTTATTTGTCGAATATTTCGTGAAAACATTATGTTATAGGCCTGAAAATTTTGTCATCATTTCTCTACTACAGTCCCAATATATCCTAACAATTTCATGTGATTTAAATGTGCCTAGTCCAAGATTAGTTTTTTTGCAGCATGAGAGGAGTTAGCTTTTTATTTTTTTATATAAATATATATGAATAAATTTTTTTTTTGTTAAATAGATGGCAAAATTAAATCAATTAAGACAAGAGCATGACATCCAAAGTAAAATAGTAATCTGTGCAAAAAAACTATTACATGATCAAGCAAAAGGAAATTCAAATTTATTAGATTCAGTTTTAAAACAACGTTTTGAATTTTATACATGTGTGAAAGAAAAAGTAAATTGTGTTCTTTTTTACTTTCAAATTCAATTTTTATTTATTATGTATATTATTTTTCTTTTTAGCTTGATCGATTAACAAAATTAATCGATACTGTACAAAAAGAAATTAATTCTCGTTATCCTTATGCTGACACTAGTCCAAGTAAATCATAAAAATTAATTATATTTTTGCATATAAAATAAATTTATTTCTTAGTTAAATCATCAACAGCTACAAGTGGTAGTCCACCTCCAAATTCATATAACCAAAGATATCAACAACGGAAAAAGAGCCCTTCACCAACTGTAAATTAACATTGAAACTTTTTTTTTTGTCAGAAAAAAAAAACTTCTATTTTTATATTTTAGCAACAATTAAATCGTACTTCATCATACAAACGAGCGTTAGTACATAATCAACGTTCTGTTCCATCAGCAGTTACAGATGGTCATTCATCTGAATTTGATAATCAAGTTTTATTGTCACCGGCATTAGATAGAAGGTATACTCAATTTTATTATTGTAATTTATAACAGATGAGTCTTAAAAAAGAAAAAAAAATCGAACGATCTATTTCTGTTCGCAAAAAGACCGCCATGGTTGAGTAACTTCGTTGTTTGACACGTATTGACAAGGTACTGTGTTTAAATCTCAGTACCACTTGGTATAGAATGACTCTGGACAAGACACTAATGATTCTTTATCTCAGATCATTCATCCGATAGTATGTTGACTACGTTGTGATATATACCTACTCTTGTGATTAGTTAGTGTGGATGGGTAGCTTAGGCAATTGAGCATAAGAGCTCTGCGTCAGATTGATCTTCTGTTTAGAGCTACAGCTAGTCATAGTTGTAGGAAAGATATCGAGCTATTGAATCTGTCCCTAGGCAACATCCCATACCGCAAGGTAGCTGAAAAGCAGGATATTCTCTTCTTCCTGTTTATGAATACTTCTAATTGTTAGATCAATTCTTTCATTTTTTTTCTCTTTTTTTAGTCAATCATCTGATCTTCTTACTAGTAATTTACCTTCTGATTCATCAAATAATCGTCAACAACAACAACAACAACAACAACAACAACATACAGCATATATTCTTCAACCACCACCTCCTCCAATAAATTCTTCAAATAATGCAGCTCGTAATCGAATTCGTGATCGTAAACAACAACCAACTTCACGTCCAGCACAAAAAACAACATCAACAAGTAATATAATATCTGATGAACAATCTCAACAACAATTATCACATATGCGTAGTCTGGATAGACGACATGTACGTGGTGTACCACATAATTCATCAATTAATTCAACAATATCAAAAACTCATATGAAATCAAGTCATACCGATATATATGGTAGTCTTGAACGTAATAAACATAGTAAAGTATCTCAACCAACATTACATGGTACAATAATAAATGATGAAAATAATCGTATTAATAAAAATGATAATCAAGCACATGATTTTTATCATTTAACACCAGCATTACCAACACAAACAAATACAACATCAACTGTTGTTAATGTTGGTAATATACTTCAACAACAACAACAACAACAACAAGCATTTGATCATATTGATTCAATACCACCTCCATTACCAATAACATCATCAACAAATCGTACTCGTCGTCCACCACCATCTGTCTTTCAACCACATTTTGATTCATCATTATCATCATCAACAACAATATCAACACCTAAAGATAGTTATTATACAATATCAGGTTCGAAAGATGTTTCAACACATCCACATACACATATTCGTGGTCTTGTTGCCGACAATTTTTATAGTGAAACATATACAAATAAACCACCACCGGTACCACTTCAACAACAACAGCCGATGCAACGATATGATACATCACCATTACTTGTACGACGTTTAGAACATATGTATCCAAGTCACACAAGATATCAATCACAACCATATAATCGTACACAATCAAGTTCACTAGTACCAACATCACAAATATCAACAGGACGTTTAAATATAACTAATCAAAATCAATCCTCAGCATTACTTTTTCGTCCACATAGTTCACAATCATCGAGTTCACAATCATCAGGGTAAAAAATTTATTTTTCAATATTATTATTTTATTTTTTTTTTTGTTAGACCTAATTCTGGAAGTTTACATGTTGCTGAAGAATTTTCGGATGATGTACTTGGTTGGCTTAACAATAATCATGGAAATTCTGCTACTCTTGTGTGATGGTTTCTTTCTTTTTCTTCTCTTATTCCGTTATCTATCCATGTGCCATCGGGGAAATGTGCATGTTTATTTTTGCCCTTATATTACAGTCAGTTTGCAATAAACAAAAAAAAAGAGGAAACTTTAAACAAAAAATGGGCTTCTTTATAAATATATATATTTTTCTCTTTGTATGTTCTCAATTATTATCTTTTGTTCATTCATTATCAAGCCGTTTTTTGTACATTTGATCAAACACTGGTTTTTCTTTCTCTTCTGTATACCTGCATAAATTTTTTTCTCTACTTTTTTTTTTTGTCTTCATGTCCCTGGATCAAACTACATAGATGATTATGTATATGTCCGTGTCTTGTTACGTTCTATATGTATCTTATTTCATTCTTTTTTTTTATACGGATTGATGGAATCATTAAAAATATATATATTTAGTCAGAGAGAAAAGTTATATCTCTTGACTTAAAAAAAAAAGTAATTAATGGATTAGAAAATCAAATGTTACAGGTGCCAATTTCTCATAGTACCTATATGAAACATATAAAAGGGAGTGATGATTTAGTAACAATATTGCAGTATTATAATGAAGTCGACTTTTGCAATATTAATTGTATGCATCAATGCAGGTGAGTAATTATTACTTTTGAATAGGAAACATTTCATAGCAAAGTAACTATGAATTATTATGTATTATCCGTTTTTTCATTGAAAAGCATGTGGATTATTGTTTGGAAGTGATTCTGGACCTGAATGGAACACTGTAAGTACTACTTGGGGTCCGAATCCACTTAGTCATGATTATTTTGTTAAACAACCATTAACGATTGATGATGCAAGAAAAAATGGATTCGAACAGATTTCAAATGCATGTCAAGGTAAATTTATTTATTCTATTGTATTGTTATCTAATCGAAAAATTATTTGTAGGAAAATTTCTTGGACAACGTTTTATAAAGAATAAAGATGTTGGCGTAATTTTAATTTATGATAGCAAAGGTTTTATGGCTGGTATCCAAATGGGTGTAAGTTAATGAAATTTTCATTTGATTTATTTATGAAAATTTTCCTTCTTATGTAAAAAAGATTCCAGCTTCGATGATTAATGATACGTTTTACAAATTTTCTCAACAGAAAATGTTTAACCGAGATATGGTTAATGGCGTTGATGTTTACGTTTTAACAGCATATGTGGTTGATCCAAGAACAATATGTTCATCAACTAGAGATACAAATCATCGTGAAAAAAATAGCGTAGGAACAGGACTTTGGTTACAAAATGGTACTAATCCAATTGATGATTCAGTTCCTATACCGATAAGTCAAACGGACGCAGACAAAACAAAATGGGTTAAAGGTGCATGTTTTCCATCGATGGGTAAAATATTTATATCATAAAAAAGAAGAAAAAAAAAATTTAATATCAAAATTATTTAGGTATTCATTATTGGTATGACAATCGAATTGATTCGGATTGCACAACATACTTTCCTGGTTTTCTTTTGTATAATAAAGGTAAATTAACAGCATTAGGTTGGGTTGTATTTGGTAAATATGATTTTACAAAACGAACTGAATTTCCTCCATATGCAGCTATTAGTGTAAGTTTAAAGACATTTGGTTTTTTTTTCGATCATATATATATATATATATATTATTTAAATTTTCAGTCATTTTTAAAACCTGTTCCAACATGTATGCGTGCCAAATATGACGAAGTCGGTGGTTTTACAACAATGCATATTTTCTTCAATACAGACCCATGGAATTTAATCTGCTGATTTCTATTTTTTTTTTGGTGTCATTCTTTATTCTTTTGAATACATTGTATTATAACAATGAATAAATAAAAGGATTAAGGAAAAAAATAAAAGTAACAAAGATATTTGTGAGAGAAGAATGAAATATGAGTTATATAAAACGTTATCAGATTCGATAAATGAATCGACACAAATGATTTTCTTTCGATTCAATTAACTTTAGGAAAATATTGACACAATTATTTTGGTCTTTTTTTCGAATGAAGTCAAATTTTAATCTACTTGCCATCTTGAGTATTGTCTTGAGCATCGATCAATTAAGAATGCACTGTTAATATCGTGTTCTTTAAATAAAATGGTAAACATATGGATTAATATTCAATCGAAGAATATGCCTGTTTCTCTCTCTCTCTCACGATACAATAACATTATATCTCATATTGGAATTAGCTGCTTTATAACAATAAACAATCAAACATATTTCCTTTTCTTGGAATATTTTCATTCAATTATTTACGGCCACTTGAATAATTATATTGTGAATTAATGAGAATAACGATACATCTTCTTTTCCTATTCATTGAAACATGTTATAATACGTCATATGCAATCATTTCATTCTATTGGATGTAAAATAAATGGAAAGAGAGAGCAAACGAAAATAAAAAGAAAGTTGATTTTTATGTTTTGAGAAAAATGAGAAAAGTTATCGAACATACAATAACAATAGTATCTTCATCAAAATTTACAAATATGTCTTATTTTAACATTATGTATAGCAATATATTTAGTTATTAATGTTAGTACATTTCCTTTTTATAGATCGACAATTTATCATCATCATTAACTAGTAAATATTAAATTAGGATTATTTTAAGGACCTAGTTTTTGATAAGTAATTAGTAAAACGGTTACATTATGAAATTGAGTGATTTTTAAAAATTTAATTATTTTAAATTTATTTAACTTTTTGAACTTAGTTTTAGTAGTAAATGAGACATGCCAATTAAAGTAGAATCTGATCGAAAGTACTCTTATCCTAATTTCTTCTGTATGACATTGAAATAAATACAAAAATTTATGTTAATCTTCAAAAAGATTAGTTTTCAAAAGTATTATTCAATTTTTGTATTCAAATTCTCTTATTTCTTTATCATATAATAAGCGCTATAAGTGCAATTCGCTTTTTTTTGTCGCGTTCTCTTATTGATTCAATATATTCGTACATATTTCAAAAAGTTTTTTTAACTTTATCATCACTATTTGATTCTATATAATCGACTTATCATAAATCTTCACGATCTATTATTAAACCAATATACAATATAAGTGCTTGATTTCATTTCAATTTCATACCCTCTCACGAGAGAAGTCTTCTAACTGATAAATCACTTTTGAGTTGAGACTACGTGCATTATATAGAATCAAATGAACTATGAATAACTTGAAAACAGTTTAGACCCTTAGTTTATTAGTATCGAGATCTTGCACTTTTACAGTAGTTTTTAAATGAATGTCATGGTCCTCCTCATGAATATCAAGAAAACTGATTTTCGTATTTCAACTTGAAACTTTGTACAGAGACAGTCCTTAACAAGGATAATTTCTTGTCAATGTTTCATACCTTGTCGTGGTTCCTATCTTAAGATACGGCTATGATAAAGAAGTATCTTTGACATCATTCATATATATAACGGCGGACTTGATGTTCTTATTTCAGGATAGAAACAAATCAAAAGACCTGAAACTTTCACAATAAATTATTCTCATGAAGGACCGTCTCTGTGCAAAACTTTCAAATCAAAATTCGAAAAATCAGTTTTCTTGGTGTTCCTGAGGAGAACTACAGTATTCATTCGAAAACTACCGTAAAACTGTAATGTCTACGCAACAATGAGCTAAGAGCATGAGTTCTTTTCAGAATATTCAAAACTCATTTGAGTCTACATGATGCAAATCTTCCCTCGTTAGTAATAATATTTTCGTTCTCAGTAAGAATGACATACGACGTCTGGTAAAGTTGCATATTCCTTTGAATCAAGTTGTTCTACAGATAAAAATTTCTTTTACAATAAAGATGTTTTTGTTTTCTTTTCATTCTTAAATCTCATTTGAGGACATAGTTTTCTTTAAATCAAGAATATATGTAAGTAAAAGAAATTCTCTAATAATAAATACTAATCTAATCGCATGAACAAAGCATTATTGCTATTGCTTTTTAAATTATTCATTACAATAAAATTCTTAAATATATGATTTTTTTTTGTAGTTACATCAACTATAACGTTATCATCAGGAAATATTAAGTATTTATTTTTATTCAAAGATTTTTTGAATATTTCATCAAATCAATCGAATTCATCATCAATAGCAGTGTATAAATTTATGCATTCAATATGTAATAAAACAAATATTCGAATAAGAAAGAAACATAAATTAAATTTTTCATATTCCAATTTATTGTTATTCGATAATATAGACTCTATTGTTAGTTTTTCTAATCAAAATAGTTATTAAAATTATCATTTCCAATAAATTGAAATGCAAAGCACGATCATCTAATCTCCTCACTCATTATGATCTAATATAACCAGCACATATCCTAATAAAATAGATTTTATCGAAAGTTTATTATTATGATAGTAGATGAAGTATGATCAAATAGCATAGAAAAATAGAGCATTCTTTTCTCTATCAGAATATATAGAAAAAAAGTTTCTTAAAGCTTATTATAGGGCTAAGTAACGCCGGACTACGAACTTTTGGTTGACCATAAGTAAGTTTATTCTTTCTATCCATATTCACTCTCTCGAAAATTTCATACACATTGAATCTTTCCTCTAGAATCCTTGATTTTATGTGTCAGTATTCGGAAATCACTGGAATTTCGACCTCTGAAAACAAGCAAGAACTAGTCTAATCTCTACTTTTGACCCTTCGAGTTCTTCTTAAATACTAGACATCTGTCGAATTTTCGATCACCCCCATGAAAGTTTATCATTGACATATTTGACGCAATTCAATCTATTATTCGTGGACATAGGTTTCATTAAGTTGGTGACGAGTCTACGTAAAAGAACTCATCAAGTTCTTACTTTCGACTGTTCGGAAGTCGAATAGATTCCAAGTATTCCAGAAGAATGACTTAATCGAAAACATATTTGTGGTCACTTCATTTGTTATGAGGATCTAGAATCGTTTGAATTCTTGAAGCCATTCCACTTTTATCATAATCTCTTTCAAAGTTAGGCATTGGAAAATCCAACCTAAACTATCATAACTATATGCAATTTGTAGTAGCAGATTTTCCTTGGAATTTACGGTTGAACTATCGAAAATTATACGAATAAAAAATATTAGAAAATATATCCCGAGTATTTTTCATCTAGTTATAAAACATGGTTTCCACTTTAGCACATTAAATCATGCTTAAATTAGTGTTTTGACGTATATTGGGTACTCATAAGTATATATATTCGAGTCTTAGCTTTGTCTTCTTCTGAATATACGACCAACAAGTATCGAAAACTCGAAAATAGAGATACACATATTACAAAAATATTTTTCTTATAAACTTATTTCAAGCATTTGAAGTTGCTCGACAAGGATCCTCCGATGAACATCGGACGCTGAAATCGATTGTTTCCATTAGTATGGATCCATCAAGATGAATTTATCGAGATATTCAAGTATCAGTCGAACTAAATCATCGAAATAGTTCATTCTCAAGTTCTTGATACATCATAAAACGTCATTTCGAGCAGTCAATTTTAATCTTCGACGGTATTCGAGATCTACATGAACGTGTTCAAAAATATTAACTCAAACAATCAATTAAGCATCAGGTTGATTTTATTTGATTTTATTTTTTGAAATTCATTAAAGCAAAAATATATGAAATAAGAGATTGTGTGAATATAGCAATGTTAGTACGAGTGCAGATAATTGTTTCATTAAAAAATTTGTGTATTAGACAAAGTCAATAGACATATTATTCTTCTGTCTTAACGACTGGCATTGTATGGCGTATAAAGTTTCTTTATTCAAACGCAGAGGTTTGCCCATTGAGGTTTTGAACAATTATCAAGCGTTGAACAACAATCTGCATCAATTAAACATGATTGTGTATGTTAACTGCAGTATGTTTCACCGTTACTGACAGAATTCGGTTCCCAAGATTGCAAACAACATTCAGATTGATTGAGTGCTATTTGTCCTGCAGGTCGACAACATTTTTTTGTCTATGGTTCATATTGTAATCCAATGCAACAACTATTGGTTTGTTGATCTCATATGTTTCATTTATTCGTCTGCATTTGTGAATGCAGGTTTCGCCACGAACAATATTATATGGTTTCCATTGTTGACCACAACACTTCGATGGAATTAAAACCGTTCTATCTACCAATCGATAACATCTTTGAGTTAATTGATTGCATAGTAATCTGTAACAACAAATATAAATTGATTTGTTGCATGCTGCATGTGATGGTTGACAATGAGAAATGCATTTTTCACGACGTATCCCACTACAACATTCTGTCGGAGATGTACAAAGTGAACCGCTTCGCTTGCAACCAGTTCTGAATTTAAGATTTTGAATTGTATGATCGATTGTAACAAACAATAAAATAGTAATGATGATGATAATTAATTTTATCATATTTAAATTGTACTAAATAGACAAAGAAATAAAACCAAAATCATATTCTTTAAGTATAATGCTAAACGTACTTTTCAAGTTTGATTAATCATTAATAGTAATGTGTGCGTGTCTATATTGACTTATAATTATGTTTAGTAATAGATATATATTTTGACTGATGAGAGATATAGAACTAGTATGTTTTGTTTGTCAACCATTTGCGCATTTCACCTTAATACTCATCAACGACGCATACTTATTAATTAATGCAAATGAAAGAAAAATGTAGATCGATTACATGTCTTTTTTTTTCTCCTTCTCTTGGTCCAAGATTGAAAATATATACTCACTAATGCGTCTGTTCTATGTATATCTC